CTTGCCAGCCGTCCGACGAAAACTCATAATCAAATTGACTTCAAATGATATCCACTGACATGACTTAAACACAACTACTGAATTCACTTAAAATTATCAACTTCCGCACATCAGCCGAATAGGACCAAACGCATGGCCGCGGTGCGCTCGCTATGTGCGAGGCTCACGGCTCATGGCCCCTTTCTTGTCAAACACGAAAACTTATCGAACAACATAACTGAACATAACATAACTTAACTTGATCATTTAGACATTAATTGTTCGAACAAACTCGATCATAGGCAAAGATAACACGGCGCGGCCGTTGACACGCACCCCACGTGCGGTCCTTGGCTTTAAGCCAATTTCTCGACCGAACCTTCGATTTACCCAACAAATCCCACTTAACTGGACATAAGACACTTAATAAGGGCTAAAGAAATAATAAACGCTCGGGACTTGCGGGTATAAAATGGGAGTAATTCGGTACTGCCTTACTTACCACTTAACCGAACACAACATGAATTTTCTCAGAATTTTTGAATTTAAATCGAACTCATAACCTTATTATGGCCTTACTAACCAGATTACAAGATGAGGAGGAAGTTACCTCGTCAAACGTTCGACTAAAGACGCAAGGTAGGCGTGATTTCCTTAGCTCCGCAAGCGACCTTGTGCGTGCGTATTATGCTTTACTTAGTCGTGCGATGTTTATGGAAAATTTAGGGTAATGGAGTGAACTTATGTGCTGCTGAAGAAGGATAATATATGCTGAAATTGGTGGTGCAAAATTGGTCCAAACTCATGCTTAAATACTAGTGGCCGTGGGATGGTGATGACGTAGATGAGATGTGGCTTCTTGGGAGCCTTACACTTGCTAATTATTGGAATAACCATTGATGACTAATCCTCCCCAAATTAATCCTCCTCATAACACGTGTGATGGCTTGAGAAAAGGGAGACATATTTGTTTGGTCCCTTCACTTAAGAAAAGGCTACGGCTTTAGTACATTTATTGGGGCCAATTTCAAGTAGTGCACGGCTTTGGACATTATTTCTTTAACTTAGAAAAATTTTTGGTGAACTTAGGAACTTAATATAAGTCCATAAAGCTTTAAGCCCTAATATTGGATTAATGCTAATTAATCCCTTTGCTTATGTTTAATTATTTAATTAAACATAATGCTTAATTACCAAAATTATTTCGAACGTAAACGGTACGTCGAAAATAAATTTCGGTAATCTCGACTGAAAAATAATTAATTCCGACAATAATAATTAATAACATTATTATATCGGAATTGAAAACATAAATTATACTGACAAAATATCGGGATATTACAACAGGTCATTACATGGGCTGACTTTGAAAGAGAATTGCTCACACGTTTTGGTACGTCCAATTACAATAACTACAATGAGGCCCTCGCGCGAATACGACAGACAGGCAATTTACGTGAATATATCAAGGAGTTTGAACGACTAGCCTGTCGCGTACGAGATTGGTCTGAGGATGCACTAGTAGGAGCCTTCATAGGCGGGCTGAGATTCGATCTAGCCGCAGAAGTCCGACTGGAGCGACCAGACACGATGCATAACGCCATGGAAGTAGCCCAGTGACGAGAAGACCATCTAGTCGCTACGCGAAGGGGACGGGCGGATGTGCGATTTGCGGACGCGCGACGCACGGGACTAAACCAGGCAACGGCCAGCGCACGGCCAAACGTCAGCAATCGACCGGCGGGGTCGATAGTAAGGCGGCTGTCTCCTGAGGAAGTTAAACGTAGACGTGAGAAAGGCTTATGTTTCAAGTGTGAGGAGAAATTTACACCAGGTCATCAGTGTAAGCAAGCTTTTGTGATCGAAGTTGTTAATCCTGATGAGGAAGGATCTGAGGACGAGGAGGAACCACATCAGGATATTGGAATTGAGGGGCCCGACGAAGAAGCAGAAATCTCGATGCACGCAATGGCCGGGATTAGAGGGCCTCGAACGATGCGATTGCCGGCCTGGGTCAAGGATCGGAAGGTGGTGGTGCTAGTGGACAACGGGTCATCACACAACTTCATCAATGCCGACTTGTCCCAGAAGCTGAACTTACCAACCACAAATATTGAGCCTTTTGAGGTGCGAGTAGCCAATGGTGAGAGGTTGCAATGCACTAAATCCTTTCGGAAGGTGCCAATCAGGTTCAGCGGAGTTACGGTGAAGGCTGATCTCTATGCCTTACCTTTGGTTGGGCCGGATGTCGTCCTCGGAGTACAGTGGCTCGAACGGTTAGGCAAGGTGACCACCGATTATAGAACATGAATTATGGAATTCAACTCTGGAGGTCAGCAAGTCACTCTGAGCACTGGCAATGAAAAAGGTACCAAGGAAGTAGGACTTAAGAGCATTGAAAAAGTTTGGCGGGGCGGAGGCCAAATATTTGCAGTGGTAGTAGAGAAAACTGAGGCACACATAGACCGAGAGGAACAACAGCAGGGAGATGTGCGCGAGCTTCTCAAGGAATTTGAGGGAGTACAGGGCGAACCTAAAGGACTACCCCCACACCGGGAGTTCGATCATCGCATACCACTGATCAATGAGCAGCATGCCATACACGTTCATCCCTATAGGTACGCTCACTTTCAGAAAACTGAGATTGAACGGCAAGTGGCCGAGATGCTTGAGTCAGGTCTAATCCAGCACAGCAAGAGTCCGTTTTCTTCTCTAGTCCTACTAGCCAAAAAGAAAGACGTACATGGAGGTTCTGTACTGACTACCGAGCACTAAATGCCGCAACAATCAAAGACCGATTCCCTATCCCGAGTTTCGACGACATGCTCGATGAGTTAGTTGGGTCACGCTATTTCTCGAAACTCGACCTGGGAGCTGGTTACCATCAGATTCGACTCCACAAGGCCGACATTCCAAAGACATCATTTCGTACGCACCAGGGGCACTATGAGTATCTTGTCATGCCATTTGGATTATGCAAGCCCCATCCACTTTCTAGTTCGCTATGAATTCTATCTTCAAGGAGTATCTGCGTAAGTTCGTTCTGGTATTCTTTGATGATATCCTTGTTGGGACATATGAGGATCTCGATATGCACAAATCACAGACAAACATTCAACATAAACCTATGCGCAGCGGATCTAAAGGTTTGATGAAGAAAACTTACTGCTTAAAATTTATGTAGATCTGGCTGGCCCGGACAGTTGACTGCAAATCAAATCTTCTCGGAATCGAACAAACTTGACCAATCCAGAAAGTTGACGTCGCGGCGAAGTCAACGGCGTTGACCGATCGGAAAACGGAGCGTTCACGCGCTCTCACGCGCGCGCGTTATCCTCGGCAGCTAGAAACTTCCGGCGGTGCGTGCAGCGGCGTACGGCGGCGATCTTGACGGCGATCTCTTCGTCTCGTCGTCCTGGTCGTC